CACCCTCCACCCCCCATCCTGCTGCCCCGTCACCCCACGACGTGCGTGGGAGCGGTACATCGTGGCCGGGTCGGGGTTGAAGTTTGCAGTAACTGTACGCAACGAAGCGCAGGCTTGCGGGGTTTGCGTTGCTCTGAGGAGCAAGCCCTGGCTTTCCCTTTAGGTCGCAGGTCCCATGGAATTTAAATTCTGACGGGTTTTGCCTTGCTTCATGTCATCTCTTACGGTTGAATTGCAGCAAATCCCTTTTTCTTTAATGGTTTTGTGCGCGTGTATGGATTAGTAGGAGAAATGTCCCCTAAACATGCTGATTAAGTTTCCCTTGCTCAACTGCTCTGGTGTCACCAAAGCTTAGGAAACTGCTCATCCTGTGCCATGTATTTCCTGGGTCTTTTATGAGTCGTAATCAGTAAGTTCACCGAGACGAGTTGATTTTTCTGGGCTTTTGTCATATTAGCGACAACTGACAGTCACTAAGGGCTTATCTGACTTTTTGCTTTGGTGAACTTGTTCCTCTGTGGGGTTCAGATTGGTGCCTGCACACAGGCCGATGCGTCTGTACTGTAGAGGGCTAAAAATGAAAGCTGTTGAGGCTTTTATGGAATAAAGAGTTTTTATAAAATATTATCACTTTGTTGAGAGGCGTGTTATTCACATATGGTTAGTCATACTTTGTAGGACTTGATTTACCAGCACTGCTTTTTTTTTTTTTTTTTTTTTTTTTTTTTAAATTTGTTTGTTCTTCTAATGAGTGCTTTCCAAAGCAGTCAGTGTGCCTGTTGTACTTCTGGTTGGAGGAGTTACGTACCCTCTCTATAGAAGTGTTTGTGCTACCTGGAAGCACAAACCTGGGAGAACAACCTGGAAGTTGGTCATGCAGGTTGGCTTGTACTGCATACACCTCTACTTTTGGCTAGTCCTTTGACATTGAAGATTGCCTACCCAGGGTGATTTCTCAGTACGCTTTTTACATATTTATCGTGTAATTTGTCTGTTGTAAATATTGCAGAATTTAAGATTCTTCTGTATAAAGTGGTTTGTACAATGTTGTATGGTTTTCTGCGTAATTTCTGTAGCAAGTTGCTCTTAATGTGTAAAGCACACAGTTCAGTTTTTCTTAATGGGTAAGCTGTGGCTTGTACAGAGCGTACACAGAGTGAAATGAAATGGCAATGCTGGCTAATAGTTTTATAGTGGTCTGTATTTGTTCTTTTATCGATACTTGTTTTTTTTAAAGATTTTTCAGGCAGTATGACTAGAACGGGGCTTAATGTATCAGTAAGCCAATCTTATCACATAACTTTGTATCTTTTTTTTTTTTTTTTTAACCCCTGTAAGATCATCTAGAGGTGTTTGGAAAAAATTTGGGAAAACCCCCTAATATTAGAAGAAGTTTAAAAGTGGATGTTTGAAGGTAGGCAGTGAAAGCATGCTCTGTACTCCTGTTTTGTAATTCCTAAACATAAGCACAGATAAGTACTTAAAAGCTAACATGCCATCACTTACACTGGTGTAGCTGGACCACTTTTCCTTCTTTTTCCTTCCAAAATGGTTGCCTGAAACATCTGTTTTTTCCTCCCCCTGTTAGGCTGGCAAGCTTCGATGAAAAGTGGGAGTCTGTCTTATATTCTACCATGCAATCGTCTGCCTGTGCAGCTGATGAGTCAAGTGAGAGTTTATACCTCCAATGGTCAGAAAAAAGATCTTGGATCAGAAGATACAAATAGATCAACCCCTGAAGAAACCCCGCATAAAGTTGGAACAGGTAGTACTAAGCTAAAATAAAGACTATTTACATAAATGTAAAGCTTCCATGTATTTAACAATTGATAACTTTTTTTTTTTCAATTGTGTGATAGTACAGTTGCAGAATTCTTAGTATTTGTTGCTTGTGGGCATCTATATATAAATATCAAATGTATAACCAGGGAGGAACGCTGAAATTTATTTCTTTTGTCATTCCAGTATTTAAAGGATTTAAGTTTAGAGTAATCAAATTTCAAGTGGTGATGATAGAATGTGGATGTCAGAAGGTATTAGGTAACTTAAGGAATAAGAAATGGAATATATTACTTGTCTTTTACCACTTTGCTTGCTTATTTGAATTCTTTTCCTAGTATTTCAGGTTTGTTTTGTGAAATGAGCTAGTGATAAAGATTGAATGGGTGTGAATACTGAGCACTGTGACTTCTCCAGGTCAGGGTATTGATGACTGGTAAAGAAGGTTGATCTGTTCCATGTGCTAGAGCTTTCTAAGCTGACAGTTGTCACACCTGCAGCATTCAGGTTAAACACTTGATATAATGGACATAACCTGACCCTCCTTGCTGTTCATTGGATTGTCGATCTTGTGCTAGTTAGGTGCTTGTGAAATTCAGAATTGTCTTGTCCTTGCTCCATCATAGCATCCTCTATTTTTTTCTGCTTACTACGTGTAGGACTGTACAGATACAAGTTTGGAAGACTACTGTGCTTAAGAGATAACAAATGCTTTTAAAAATGAAAGCTCTCTTTCTGTGTGCTTTTGTCTGAAACTAGGTGGTCTACTAAAGAAATTTTTTTCTCTCTTCATTGTCATGTTAGCAGGTATTCTTTCTTTAGTAACTTGTAAATTCCTGAGGCTTGCAACGGTCTTTAAAAGCTATTAACTACAGGCAGCTAAGAGTATTTTCTGATGCTTGGAAGTACAAAAGTGGATCTTAAATGTTGTTCTAAGTGTAACAGTTAGATATTATTTCTTAAGTCTGTGATAGGATTTTAGAAGAGGGTAATACTTAAGACTGTTTACGTTTCTTGGAAAGTCTTGAACTGAAGATGGTTGCTAGAGGGGGAGGTTCTTGCAGAAGAATGTCTGCCTGAATACAGTGAAAGACTGTAGAGCCAGTTGTAGTTGTTGATATTTTCTGGGTTCTTAATGCGCAGTTGCAGGCGTTAAAAATTGGACACGTGAAAACAATCTAGCGCTACTGCTTCCATGATGCCTTAAGCTTGTATAAATAGGGGTGTTCCCACCTTCTCCCACCCCTTTCTGATCACTCCCTCTCTTGGGCTGGCATTAATGACGTTTAGGCCTGTTTTGTGAAAAATTAATTGCTTTCCTGTTTTGCAGAGCTAGGGCAGAGGTAGGATGGATCAGTCAGCTGATTCTGCTCTCTGTCGCTGAAATGGCTGGAGGAGAGACACTGCTCTTTGTGGCCTTGAGTCCTAGTAAGCCTTGAGTGGAATTGCACCACGTGGGCACTGTGGGACTTACCTTTTGTTGAGCATGGGGGCTGACGTATGCAAGCATCTGTGAAACTGCAGCCTAGAGATATTGTGCATAGATGAACAACTGCTTTGAAGTTTCTTTTGGAATGCGTGTTATAATATGCATGCTTCGTATAGGGTTTTTTTCTGGAGCCGAGTGGATAGAATGTTCTTATGCGTTGTGGACATGTTACTACTGTTTATTTAAAAAAACATTATATTTTTGGTAAAATTCTGAAAAGGTAATCTACTACTTGTAAAGATTACCATATTTTTCCAGTAACTTAAATATTTAGCAAATAATGGATCTCACTTGGACCTCCATTTCTTTACCAGTAAACTTGGGAAATCCTTTTCTCGTTAATGTGATATTGAAAATACTAATATATTAATCTTGGAAGTTCTATTGTATCAACCTCTGCTTACCAGAAAAACAGTAATTGTGAATTGAAGTATTCCTTTTTTATGCACTGTGATTTTGTCCAGTCTCTAGGCTGAGGAAGTAAACTTTAAAAGGGTGCTTGGTGTGCATAGACCTCTGTGCATAGATATAAATCTTGGTATTTTTGTGCCTTTTTTTCCTCCTCTGAAATCTTATCATCTGATCTTTTGTTAAATAGTGTTGGTAATACTTCTTATAATGACATAAATGGTTGCATGCAGTTTCTGAAATGAAGCTACTACACAGTTTTTGCTGAGTGATCTTAGCTGAATTTTTTTTCATGAATATTGATAGATTGGCTGCCTGGTGTTTTAAACAGGGTAAGAAAAGAAAGGAAAGGAACAGCGAGGGTTTATTTTGCTTTTGTTTTCAAGTCAAACAATAACTGATAGGGTTAACTGTTTTAGGAATGCAAGTTATTTATGGTCCAGCCTTATTTGTTATGCAATAAGATCAGTTTCATAAATTTACAAGTGTTACTTTTCCAAGAAAGTATACTTGGATTGTTACCAGCCTTAGTCCTCAGCTGCTGTTAGGGCAATAACTAATTGCCTGATGGATAGATAGTTATGTGGTCCAAGCTTCAAGAATGTCTGAGCCTTGAGTAATTTGAGTAGCATGTTAAGCTAGGAGTATCTCATTAATTAATGCAAACCGGCTTGAAAAATCTTCATTTTTTTTTTAATCTATCACTTTCAATAAGGTCTGTTTTAATTTGGTTAATGACTGTGGATGTGTGGCAAACCTCTGATATTAGAGAGTGTTAGGGCACGAAAGAGTAGGTGTGTTGGGTTGATGTGTTAGAATCATAAGGTGTTCTGAAAGCTATGTCAAGATATGTGAGATAAGGCTGCAATATTTGTGTGTATTTTCAAGTAGTACTTCTGATTTCTAACTAGACATCTCACTGAAATTGCTGGAATTTATTATTTTCCATATATTAAGATTCATTTAATAGTATTGTGAATTATTTTTTGTTGGCTTTTTATTGACTCATGCCCTCAAATTTCAAAACTAGCTAAAATACTTTGGTTTTATTTTAGTTCCAGCTTGATGTGAGAGTTGCAGATTTTAGTTTAAATATTCTGTATTTTAAAGAGCTAGCTATTTGTAAGTGAAAAAGCTTCGGTCCCTTAAAATTGAATTACAGCTTGAAAGCTCTATGAGACTCGGGTGATCAGCAGCCATAAACTGTACAGAATTGATTATATTTCCTAATCTAAACTATTGCATAAAACTTGTTCCAAACTAGAAGTACAGTGTTAAAATGCTTTTTAAAAATTCAGGATACTTTCTGAAGTATGTTGCAAATTCGTGCTCTTCTGCAAGCTGCTAGGAGTTTATTGATTGATGCTATATTAATTTTCTTTTTTTTTTTTTTTTTTTTTTTTTTTACTATTTCTGTCTTTTATTTTGAGAGTTTTAAGCGTTGGAAATCTAGCAAGAATGTTTTTAATTGTCAGGGAGGAGAGCAATATTAAGGTATATTCTAATTTTGTTATGTCAACCAAACTCTACTAAAAAGAAAAGTAGGTACTTCTGTATTTACAGTGAGCTTTATTTTTATTTTACAGGACAAGATACGACCAATGCAGGTCAAAAGCAGTCTTTCCTTAAAGAGCCAATCCAAGTAAAAGGTAAAGAAATACTTCATGTATTGAAACTTCACTGCTGTCTGATAGTAGTCAGAAAAGATATGTGTAAGGAAGCTCTGGTTCCTCTTCAATTGTGTAACGAGTTACATGAATAACATTTTAAAACACGCTTGTATGTCAGCTTTGTTTGGTTGCTTGAAAATGACTCCTGAAAAATCAAATATAGCAGTATTCCTTCTAATTACTCACTCTTCTGTGTTTGTTTTTAATTGTTTCATTTAAGCTGATGAATTTGTCAGGGAAAGACTGGTTTGTTTTCTCATCTGTTATCGCAGTCTGTCCTCCGTGCGCGTTTTTAGGATGTCCATTCACCATCTCAGACTTAATGTGGCTAAGCCAAATACTTGATCTTCCCCTGTTCCTTGTCCTAAGTCTTCCTCTGTTCCTTCTTATTGCTGAGTTAATCTAATCAATGTTGCTTCTAAAAATATTTTGACCACATGAACTGCCTAATCTGAGTCCTGAAATGTTCCCATTTGTGCCTATAGTAAATACATGCTTTTGTCTTTAGTTACATTGTTTAAAAACCTAAGTGGATGAAATAAGATCATAACTTTCTTTCATGGTTTTAATTTATTATGACTTGATTTCACTCCATCTTCACTCCGATAGTTTCTATTATGTTACTGTGAGAATTACGCTATTAAAAACTCCTGTACTTTTGGTCACTCCTAGCCTTCTATGTATGGAAAGAACTTTATCAAAATAGAAATTGCCATTTCTCTTTAAACTCTGCCAAAAAACCCCAAACCCCTCTCTGGATTGAAAGTGACTCAGCAGGTTATAAACTGTAACAAAATTCCTTCCTGTCTTTCCCCAAATTTAAAGAAACATTGAATCATAATACTTGTTAGTAACAAGGTGAGATTAGTGTGTCTCTGTATATTTTCTATATGCTTCTGTCTAGTTCTTTATGTCAATTTCTTTGGGTCTGTTGTCACTTAGTGTATACATACAGGGGGAACATACAAGGTGGATAGGAGAAATTAGATAGACTGTGAAATGGTTGTAAAAATACATATATCTTTCAGTGGGAAGAGAGTTTTACCTCTAGATTATAGATGCACAAGCAAGAATGTTTATGTTAAAGATTTTGATAGGGTCTAGAAAGTGGAATTCTAGTGTTTAAGATGCTGCTGTGACTTAGAAACTTATTGATCTAAGTATTACTAAGGCAACAACATTTTTAAAGGATCACTAATGTTAAAAAACTGTGCTATTTAAAGTGTTTTATTTACATCATCTTTTATTGGGCTTTGTCCTTCTCTTGGAAATACCAAATTGATTTGTTTTATGCAGTTATTTGAACTGGGAGTTGGATTGTTGAGATATTCTGCAGTGTACAATTGGTTATGCTGTTTTCTTTTAGTAAAATTTACCTGTTTCTGAAAGATGGGTTAGTACTTGATAAATCTACAAGTAATACTAAAGTTAATACACTTTGGATATATAAGAAAGTCTTAAACAAGAAAAGATGGGAAGCATTCTTCTTGTTTAAAAATGTTCATCCTGTTCTAACTTTAGTAAATGATGGACTGTTTTTTGGAGCTCTCTAATTTTTATCTCCCCTTCACTCAGGAGCATTGTGGGATGAATGTGATTACTAAAGTACTTAAAATTGTTTAAGTTCAAACTGGATGACAGAAATCAGATTATGATGGTAAATAATGATATCTGTAGTGTTAGTGCATTGTTGAATGTCAAGCAATATATTTTGCCTTTAAGCTTTCAAAACTCAGAAATAAGACAATGTAGAGCTCTGGGAAAATTTTTTTCAGAGTCTTAATGCAGTATCTTTCTGCAAGTATCCTGTGACTTCAGGAGAAGTACTGGACTAACTATAGAAATCCTGTCAATCCTGTGATACGCAGGAAGTTCTCGCCTGCAGAATTTGAGCTTTTTGTTTTCAGTTGTGTTCTTTAACATCATATCCTTCAGCAATTGTAACTCTTCTTCCAATAAGCATAACATTTTTAATGGAAGTTAGTGTATAGTGACTTACATTTGAAAATAAGGTGAAGTTATGTACTTACAGAGAAGCAGGAAATAATGCCATAAATTTAAAATTCCATTTCTCCTTTTTCTGAATATGTGTGATATTCTTTGCGTTGTGCATGAAAATTGGATGTCATAGGAGTGTATCTTCTAGACACACAAAGCATTATGAATAAAGAATGCATGTTTTTAATTATTATAAATGCCCAATATTAAGTATGCTAGTTTTCAAAGTAATAGTTGAGGACAAAGAACTTATGCAGTCTGCCTCAGTTCTCTGGATGGTCTGCAAAGGTCAAAAATCTTATCTGCAGAAGATGGAATTGGTTAAGTACTGGAAAAGAGAAATGGAGCTCTGTGTTCCCATTTCAGTTGCTAGAGCAAGGATTTCCAAATTGCTGTGTTTGAATGCTATCTTAGTAGCCAAACACTATCTCTGACATCAAAGTTGGGGAAGTAACTGACAGTGGCAGGTAAGTGTATGGGATGTTTGAGAGCCCTGCTTAGCTTACAGCTTAGCAAGTAGCATTTTTGGAGGTAAATCATTCTACTTTTATTCATTTCCACAATGAAGAACGTTCCTTTTTCTTCACTGTAAGTTTTCTATCGCACTGACAAGTATTGTTTTTCAGATCTCTGCTTAGCGGTATCACAAGATGACACTAGATTGAATTACTTTTTGAAGTTTCTGTAGTCTGCATGAGTGATTTAACTTGCTTATCTATTTCTGTTTTTAAGTGAAAGCAGTCCTTAAAAAAAGAGAGTATGGACCAAAATACACACAGAATAACTTCATCACTGGAGTCAGAGCAATAAATGAGTTTTGTCTTAAATCCAGGTATGATGGGTTCGAATTAAAATTTAAATTGTGAATATTTGTTTGTTTGTATGTACTTCAAAATTAATTGTGATTGCAGAGTGATTTTGCACAGCAACTCTTTCTGAATGCTTTTGTGGTATACATAATTGTAAGTAGCTGAAGGTAGTTCTTGTTTACTTAAGTGTTACAGTGGATTAGGAACTTGCACTTAGTTTGCATGTTTCCGTAGTTACTACTTAGAGTAATTTACTTGTGCTTCTATGACCATAAATCTAGTTGGGGGAGTCCACCTCTAGAGCAGGTAGTTATAGGGGGGAATGGCAAATAACTCTTGTTTCAGCATTTTTGGGGTCATGATGGTTTGATGTGAACATCTCTAAAACATCAGTGGAAACTTCATGCTACATGAGGTCTGTAATTTGGAATATAATATGACCTGGTGCATTGTAACCTAACTGTTATTACTTGATTCATATTTACTGCCTTTTACTATGTGCCATGCCTGAGGATTGCTATAGTTGAGGTGTTCATCAGATTTCATGCACGTTATAAGCGTGACCCATACTAAATCTAAAGGCTTTGCAGCTTTGTTTATAACTTTATGCTGTCACTGTTCCTCCCCACTTTTTACATATAGTGTATGTCACCAGACTTAGTCTTTGCTGAAAATCCAGTGACAAATTGTGCTTAGTCCTCTACCATCTTTTTATCTACCGCTGTCTGCTTGTGCAGAGAAATAACTAGCTGAAGTTTTGCTGGATTGACCAAAAGGGAAAAAAAGACAAAAGGACTAGATAATCGGTTAGGCAAAAAATGATTTTTTTTTTTTTTTTTTTTAATACAACAGAACATCTGTGATGCTTCTCACTGCAGATGCCCTAGTGTGTAGCTCAGCACAGGAAATCTATCAGTTCCCACAAGTAGTTTTGTTACCTACAACCTTTTGCAGCTTGTGCTGGGTGCGTCAGTTTTGAGGTTAAATTTATTAACTTTTCATGTCACATGACTTCTGATTTCCATTTAGAGAGATGTGTATTGGGTTTTCATGGCAAGGTTTTGGTAGCGGGGGACTACAGGGATGTGAGAGAAAACAGCCCTGCAGACACCAAGGTCAGTGAAGAAGGAGGGGGAGGAGGTGCTCCAGGGGCCGGAGCGGAGATTCCCTTGCAGCCCGTGGTGAGTCCATGGTGAGGCAGGCTGTCCCCCTGCAACCCATGGAGGCCCATGGTGGAGCAGATATCCACGTGCAGCCTGGGGAGGACCCCACTCCAGGGCGGGTGGATGCCTGAAGGAAGGAGACTGTAACCCCATGGGAAGCCTGTGCTGAATCAGGTTCCTGGCAAGACCTGCAGACCTGTGCGGAGAGGAGCCCGCGCTGAAGCAGGTTTGCTGGCAGGGTTGGTGACCCTGTGGGGGACTCATGCTGGAGCAGTCTGTTCCTGAAGGACTGCACCCCATGGAAATGATGGACCCATGCTGGAGCAGTGTGTGAAGAACTGCAGCCTGTGGGAAGGACCCAGGCTGGAGCAGTTTGTGGAGGACTGTCTACCGTGAGAGGGACCCCAGGCTGGAGTAGGGGAAGAGTGTGAGGAGTCCTGAGGAGGAAGGAGCAGTAGAGACAGCGTGTCATGAACTGACCACAACCCCCATTCCTGTCCTCCTGTGCCACCTGGGGGGAGGAGGTGGAGAATTGGGGAGTGAAGTTAAGCCTGGGAAGAAGGGAAGGATGGGAGGAAGATGTTTTAAGATTCAGGGGTTTCTTTTTATCCTCTCCTACACTGATTTGATTGGTAATAAATTAAACTAATTTCATCAGGTTGAGTCTGTTTTGCCCATGACAGTAACTAGCGGATGATCTCTCCCTGTCCTTAGCTTGACCCACAAGCCTTTTGATATATTTTTCTCTTCCCTGCCCTGTTGAAGAGAGGAGTGATAGAGCAGCTTTGGTGGGTACCTGATGTCCATCCAGGGTCAAACCATCACAAGATGTTAAGCTGTGAACACTCTTGTTTAACACTTGTGCACATTATCAATTACATGAAAATCATTCATTGGATGTTTTATTATTCGGTGTTTTATTACTTTGTCTTCCATGTATAGTATTTCATAGTGTGAGGACATGATTTGGACTTTTGAGTGTGGAAGACACAGTGGTTTTCAGTAGCATCCTAGAGATTGCTTGCCTCATGTTGCATATCTGTTCTGTTTGGCTTAAGTAAACAACTTAAGTTTTTTTTTGTACTGCAAACTAATAATACCAAAATTGTGGAAGATCACCTAGACATAAAAATAAAATTAGAATAATGTGAACTTTTTCTTGCACTAAACTGTTTGTCTACTTTCCATAGTGATTTAGACCAGCTGAGGAAAATTAAACGACGAAGCCCCCATGATGACACTGAGACTTTCACTGTGTACCTGAGATCGGATGTAGAGGCAAAGTAAGAACAGTTATATGAAGGAAAATGTTTGGGTCGATTAAAAAGGATTATATGAGAGAGAGAAAAAAACCCCAAACTTTTAAAAGTCAGGTTTACAATGTGAAAGGGCAATAATGTTTTCCAGTTTGTATCTGAACACATTTTATATCCTTGTTGTTGTAATAATTGCATAGCGTATATAAAGTTGGAGGGTATGTTTCATGTGTCCAAAGATTCCAAGTGCTTGTCCTCTGCCCCCTCTTGCCCAGCTTTTTATTCTGTAAAGTAATCTGCGTGGTTTCTTATCAGAAGGAATGATGTGATGTTCTGTGTTTAGGAAAGGCATTTGTAATGTAGTCAAACTGAAAAGAAGTTGCATAAGTAGAACTGTTGTTAAGTTAATTTTACTCTGTGCAGGTCTCTTGAAGTTTGGGGTAGTCCAGAGGCTCTTGCTAGAGAAAGAAAACGACGTAAAGAGGCAGAGATCAAGTATAGAGAAAGTGAGTATAGAGTTTTCAAATAACTTCAAATGTAAGCAACAAAGTATGACTGTTAGAAATCCACTAGATGGTGTGTTATTTCATTGAGAGCATACAAATTTGGAACTTGCAATTCCTGATAAGGTTTTATAGCATAGTGTTAGAGTAACTCATTACTACCTATGCAGATAGAGTATGTTACTATCTTACAGTTTATCATCTTTGTGATATATCAAAGAATACACATTCAGCTGAGATCTATAGCTATACTTTGTTTTTTGGGGGGCTTTTGATTTTTAGTTTATAATTAACGTCATCTTCAATGGTTTTGGATTTTTTTATTGAGAATTTTGAAAAGACAAAACCAATTCAAATCTTGATACCATATTGTTACTCATTTATTTTTCCTCTGAAATGAATTCAGCTTACCTTTGTGCTTCAGAAGGAGGGGAAACACCCCCAAATCATCTTTTTGATTAAAAGTATTGTTGTCATCCTTGCTGGTATTATCAATAACAGGTACAGTCAAATCAGTAGTTTGTAACGGATTTTGATCTGTGTAGTCAGTTAAAATCACAGGACTTGCAATATTGCTTCAAGGTACTTACTCCAATTATGCACCTTAAAATTAGAGGTCGGGTTTTTTTGGGTGGGGTGTGGTTTTGGTTTTTTGTTTGGTGGGGTTTTTTTGTTTTGTTTTTGTTTTTTGGAAACTGTTGTGTCACTGGAACACTCTCCTAGTAAAAATGCTAGACCTGCAGGCACTTAAGGTACCCGTAAGTGTTTGTACTGAGAGTGCAGTCAGTAGCTTCAAAATTTTTAGTGACCAGCAGAATAATTCTTGGACATAATCCAAAAAATGAGATTTAAAAAAATAATATTTATTCATAGTAGCATCCTGAAACATTGTATACTTGAAGTGGTAACTCACTTTTTTTACAGGCTGTCCTTGTACTCCACTGGCTGTTTTAATCTATTCCAATTATTGCATACAATGTATTTTGTAGGGAAGAATTCAGCACTACAGCTTCTAGATACTGCAGAATATGAATTGTTATTTTGAGGTTACTGAACATCTTCAGTGCATGGAAAAATACTGATGTTAAGAGCCTTGTTTTGAAACATACTTCCCCCTCTCCTTTCTGCTTAAGGGGTGGGAGGGGAGCAGTAGAATGCCTGGATTTGGTGCAGTGTATTTTGAATTTTTACCTTTGTGCATCATGTTGTTGGTAGAAATAGCAACAATGTACAGATTATAACAAATAGTATTTGGCATTTTGCATGAGTATATAACAATATGTGTTTCTGACTAACAATACCGGGAGTTTTTCACAAAGAAAGATAGACCATGTAGCTCTTACTTAGAATTTGGCTGCTGCATTAAAAAAACCAACCAAACACCCAAACCTTCAATTCCTGAAACTACTGGTTACTAGTACATATTCATGATAACAATTTTGTATTGCAGATCTATTTAGAAACCAAAGGCTATTGAGGGAATACAGAGAGTTCTTTGGAAATACTAAGGTAAGAGATGTTTTAAAGTTTTTGGCTAGGAAAATGCCACAATGACACCTTTGAAGGAAAAAGTTGTGAAATGGCTGCATAAGCTTAACTGACTGAATATTATTTGCACTGTAATATACCAGATCTATCTCAGATTGTCATGTAGTGGTAGATGTTATGATGCAGGTGTAAATGGGTTCCTACTGTGGCGGTGTAATGCACCAGTAAGGGTTTTTCTTTTTTTCTAGTCAATTGCCTTCTTATTAGAGATTTCATCTATAGCTTATAAACATGCATAGTAAATATATTGCTAATTTAAAGAAATTAAATACAATTCTTAAAGAAAAAACCTGAAACATTAATGCTTTGCTCTGTGCCCTACTGGCCCTTCCTCTTTGCTTAAGCAGACCCATTCCGTAGATCCAGGTGCTCTGCTATGGTAGAATTATTTCTTAATCTTTCTGCTGCACAGCTGGCTTCTGTCCTTATGGTTGCAGTGGCCCCTGCTGGAGGCTTTGTTGGTTGTTCATCCTTTCTATAGCCAATCATTTGTAGAAATGTGTAAGACCCAACTCCAGTTTGGGTGAGCATTCAGTAGTAAATCCGTATGCTTCAAGGACTATAGCTTCACTTTTGCAGTACAGGGCAATGCAAAGTTTTTATTTAATAATTTGTGTAGTAGGTCTTTCATGAGGTCAAGATTTGGTTATTTTATTCTAATAATCTCTTATTTCTTTATGTAGCCACGCTCCAGTCCAGCAGCTATGTTTTTCAAGGGACCAGGGAAGGTGGTAATGGTAGCTATTTGCATGTAAGTTTAAAAAAATAAACGTTTTGTTTATGCAAGTATAAAACAATATATTTTTATTATCCTGGAAATGAGAACAGTCTGTGTATTCAAGCTAAAGATACCTGTGTCTCTGTAACTGAAGTTAGATTTGTTTATTCATTATTGATGGGAGAGAGTTTAGGTAAATACATTCATTAATATATAGGGATCAGGGATAGAATATATCCCTGATAAGAGAAGAGCAAATTTTTTTAAGTTGATCAGACTAAACAGTTTATTAAAGTAAAAATTAAAATTTTGAAGGACATGGAGAGGTAGGCATTTAAAGTTGTCCTTTTTTCTTGCTCCTTCTTGAGAGGAAGCTTTTCCTATGTTTTAAACAATCTTCCATATAACCAGCAGAAAAGAATTAACTTTTCTCTTTCTGTTGTTATTCAACTCTTTTTCGCTCTAACTGAAAAGGGGTATTAGGAGGTTTTTGCCTTTCACATGTCTTACAAGTTTGAATGAAACAAAAACTAAACTAATGATCCTGATTGAAAGCAAATGAACACAGAGGCTATCTGGCATGAAATACACAAAAGTGTCTTTTCTCTCAGGAAATGATGGCTAAAATCTACTTGCCATAAAACCTGTGAATTTGTAAAATAAATTTGATTTTAGAAAAGGTATTTATTTGCCAAGACACTATCATGCATATATGTATAAAGGCAGCAAGATAGAAATATAGGGAAAATGCTGTTTTGGCACAGGAAACATTTTGAGCAGGAAATAACTCTGACTTTTCCTGCAAAACTGTATGTTTTGCTTGGGGGGAAAAACCCACAAAGCTTGTTTGACTGAAAACCTCCCTCTTTCTTTACTGAGTACTACTGGTAGCTATTCAGAGCTTTCCAAGTTAAAAGCATATAAGAACTGCTAGTATGGATGTTTCCAATGAGAGAAAAAAAAAAAGGGAGGGGACACACACACACCTTGTTGTATGGTCACTTCCACCTCCTTTACTTTCTTACAGTGATCTAGACAAAACAGGCTTTTCCTCCTGCTTTTTGAATAGGGCATTGCTATAAACGCTGCATTCTCTTCACTTTGTAAATACCTTTTAGATTATTAGGTGCTGTTATAGATGAATGCCTGGCAGCCAGGACAACAGAAGTTTGTAGAGCCTGTTGTATTGCTTAGTCATCTTTTTTGTGGAGCTTTTTTAGAAGTTAAAGGATGTCATGGCCTCAGATACATGATAACTTTTCAGAGATTTAAGTCAAGGCCACCATGGGTGCTCCTTTGCTCCTTGACATCATTATGATTTTTAATGGCTTCTGGTTTTGGGTCAAGAAAGGCCAATCTGTCTTAACTTCTTCAGCTGGAATGATTCGGTGGGCTTTTCACAAACTTCAGGCTTCCCCAGTGAGGATGAAATGTGGTTCAATCAAAAGCAGATTTCTCTACGGATCCACATGTGAGGGTATAGACCAGCTGCACTGGCACACTCTGTGGTGTTAATAGAATTCTGCATGAGGAACGACTTTGAAGCTCTGTTAGAGAAATACAGGAAGGTAATAGTTTTTATCAAAAAGGGAATGATCTATTATTAGCTAAACGTTCTTCAGTCTGGAGTTGCTGAAGTGATTTCATTGTCATGCTAATGCTTTACCTTTTAAATGCACAGTATATAGTATTTTTTTGAAAAATACTAGTGGTCAAGAATGTTAGTAATGTTACTGCTTCTTTGGAAATAGATGTGATGAAACGTGTTTAGTTCTCAAATCTAGAGTCTAAATAGAAGATTTTTTTTTCCATAGATTCATGATGGGCCTGTATATTTTGTTTGGATTTTTTTTTTTTTAATTTTGACATTTATTTTTTTACTGTTGTTTCTTCAAAAGCCTACATATTTTATGTGGGTAGACGGGGATGATTATGTAAATAAGACCTGGTCCTTCTGGACCATTATCTTATGCTCTAAGGTAGAGTGTAAAAAGTGGGCAATCACATGATGGTACAATTCCCTGTATATATTTCTCAATTCCCCGCAATTTCTGTTCCCTGTATATGACTTGGGGTTTTGAGGTGATTATCTTTGAAACAAATCTGCCCTTTAATTTTTTTAAGTTTACAGTTCAGTCAGGATAGATTTATTTGAATTTCTTTTAATTGTAACTTAAATTGTTAAGTTAGGAACCTTGATTTGAATAACTGGTTTTGATTGACTTTTGCATTTGTGTATTTTTATTGTTTGTTTTCTAAAGAAAGGCTGATTCTGTTCATGCATCGATACATTTTAAAGTTACCAATTAAATTTAGACTTTACACTAAAACTGACAAGACTTCTGACAGCAAGGAAGATGTGTGTCTGTTTCAACACTTCTTCCTCCCCTTTTTGTTGGTGAATGTCTGCCTCCTATGTGGACTTTGGAATACAGTTATAAACAGTTGTGCTGAATGAAACTGCTTATTTTCTGGGTGCAGGATAGAGGTTTATTAGAAAATGCTGCATTGTAGTAGGCTTAATAAGCAAGAGAAATGTACCTAATGAATCATGGGGTGAGTTTTTTGTTGTTTCTTGGCATGATGTCCAAAACATTACTATAAATCTTTTTCAGACTTTAGCTAGCTTTGGTGTAAGATTTCCTTCTGTTAAGGAGATTATCTGTTTAAGATAATCTTCTGTTAAGATTTCCTACTCTTTCAGGGCCATGCAGATAGAAATGAGGTAGCTAAATCAGTCAGTTCATTTCATTTCAGTACAATAGAGAAAATACTTTCTGAATTGGTGGTCACTGATGTGAAAGATAAGTTTGTTTCAAACTGATTCAGAGTATTTTAGCTGCCTTCTCAGGATCCACTGGTTTTAGATTATTTTGCCTCTGCTATTTAAAATATATGTAAATTTCTTCAACAGAATTTAGGCTTTCATGGGGCTTATTATTTTCAAATGTGGTGGAGGATTTGTTTTTTAAGGCAATGCATGTTTTTACTTCAGTAAGAACCTTAGACTGACTTTTATCTATTGTCTTATATTGATGTGAACATTTAGTCAGACAGGAAACACCAAATAGCTTCGATGGCTCTGCAGACTCACTAGGTTTTTTGTGATTATTCCCCATGTAGTACTCTTTGTCTTTCTATCCTATGTCTCCAACTTATTGGACATCATTAACAGATTGATTTTGCTGGGCCTGACATTTGAAAACTTTAGTGTGGTTTCTTTTTAGATAGATGTCAAATCCCCCCTCCCCCAAATTTGGGATTCCTAGGGGTGAAATAAAATATCAGCTGAGTGCCTGTTGTGTCATCTGAACAGGTGGGGGCCCCACAACTGAATTGTACCTTCAGATAAGCTGTCAACTCCATTAATACAACATTGAGAAGAACAATACAAAAGTCAAGAGACTGTGCTCATGAATCCTGCTGTAACATTTAATTTTCTTTCTATGCTAAAGATGCACTATGCTGTGACTTGGAAGAACTTGTAATTAACACAGGGAATTTAAATTGTGGTTTAGTGTTACAACAGCCTTCCTTTCTTCTTGGGTTATTCACTAACTTATGCATTTTCTTACTTTCCATCTATAAATTACGGTGATGCCTCAACATCTCATGAAGTAATGAGACTGAATTAAAAATTGTAAAGCACGCTCAGGTTGTTGGATAGAAGGAGGTATAGAAAACAGTGCTGCCTCTTGCTTGAAGAAGTGGATATGCTCTCACAGAAATCCTTTAAGGATGACCTTGGAAATGAATGTTATTTAGTCAACTGTATAATTTGATGTATGGCAAGGAGCTGGTCTTATGCTTCCTCTAACTTAAATATAATTTCTTGGCATGAGGTTGTTCAAAAATGCAACTACAAGGTGTTGTTAATACTTACCTATAACAATTTAATTTGAATACTTTTAAAAATTGCCAATAAGCTAAACTCAAATATATTAAAAAAGATAGAGGACAGTGTTCTAATTCTCTAGTCTGATTTTCTTTGCAATATGGTTGTAACAATTAACCTACTGATAATGAATGTTTGAAGTGAGAATGTTGACTCAGATTTTAGTGCTAATAGTTACCTTTCTCTGTACAACATAGCACAATGCTTACTCCAGTGAGCTTGTAACCTAAAGCAGACCTGAGAAGTCACACTGGACATCTTAATGGAAAAGTTCCATAGATAATTTTTACAGCCTAATCTAATGACAGCCTTGTCTTCCTGTCTGTTGTCTTACGTTTGTATCCTACTGGGAATTGCCCAAGCTGAGATGGAAATGGGGAACCTTGCACTCCAGTATTAGGAGGGGATGGATAGGTGGCAAAGGATTGGAGAAAGAGAAAAGGAAATTGTTAAGGCTTGTGTTCTCCCACTGGTAGGCAATTAGTTGTCCTGAGTAGTGAATGTGATGGTAGTTTTCAGAAGTGTAACTTACTCAGGACTGCTTAGAAGTTAACGATTTTGGAAAAATAAATTGTCTATCCTTACATGTCGAGTTTAGCTGAAAGGGCTTTTTAACAGTAACCGTGCAGAAAATGTGTATGCCTTATCTGCCTGTACAGGTCTCTAATGATTAGACTGATACTTGGTTTCACCACTTGCTGGCAGGTCATGCATGATTATACAGCACTTGTGGTTTTGCTGAAATATTAAAGACCAAATATTCTGTTGTTCTTTAGCTTATTTCTTCTCTTCGTTTTCAGAAATGGGTTGAATTTTTTCTTTAAGCTACTTGCTTGGGTTTACACGGGCTCTGCAAGTATGTTTTCAGAAGCCATACATTCTTTAGCAGACACATGTAACCAGGTGAGTATTTTTTCCATTCTGCTTAAGTTAGCACTTGTAATAATTTTTCAGGAATAAAGACAGATACTTATACTAGTTGTATTACACTTGAAAGCAGTAATTCAATCTACTAGTGTCCCTTACTTTGCCTATGCTGTCTAAATAGTAAACACCAGAGAAATAAAAACAGTTGTTTTATTTAGGAGGACTACAGTGAACAGGAAAATGCTTTGTTTTGCTTTACGAAGTTTGCTCATAGATATCATTGGCATTGTAGAGAAGGCTAGAAATTCCAATTTTATGAGCCACAACTCTTACTAAAATGACTCTCAGATTCTGCTGTGGTGTGCATTTACTTCCTGTTCAATACCTGTGATAATTTTTGTACTGTTTTGTCTAGTTTACATGATTCCTAGAGTTAACAGTAATATATTCTAGGAGGAAAAAAGCTAGTACTTAGTCTAATGACCATTTAAATAATTTTGAGGCAAACCAAACAATTTCATCTGGGAGAGGGTGTTTTTAAGATTTACTTTATTATTAAATAATTTCTGGTTTCAGTCATTCAGATTACAAAGCCTGCCCAGAGTGTGAAAAGCTCTGTGTGCATGCAATGGGAGGAAGATGTGCTTTTCTATGTGTGTGTCGTAGACGTGTATTTTTTTTAGCTTCCCAGAGACACAAGCGAATCTTGCTTTACAAAGTTAATGTTCTTATATACAGTTTTTATCAAACTGTGGGCAGGTGAAGACATATTTTGTCAGAAATTGACATTACTGTAGAAATATTGCTAAGCCCAGAGCTCTTTCTGCTGTTACCCAATCTGAGTGCAAAGCTGTTGTTACTCTTACAAATTTTCTTGCCAAAACTAGTGGTTTCAACTAGTGGTTTCTACAGGTTTATCTAGCTGCTCTTTTGTATTTTTATATTGATGCCAGTAATTTGATGGAGGGTTTATAAGCTAACAGTAAAATAACTGACCTAGTCTAGAAGCCTTCAATGCAGAAGGAATCTAGAAAGGGTCACCTGTAATTATAAATAAAATCTATTTGAATGGTGTTTGGACCAGTATTTCTGCTAACATAATACTATATGTAATACATCTACATTATTTTAAACTGCTTGCCCCAATTACTGCTTCTTTTCAAAACTATTGCTTTTTTCATTTAATTGATTGTTCCATACTTCAGCTGCAATTTATTTTCCCCTATAACTATCAAGATGAAAGTGCACCGAAAAGGTTAAATGGGTTGCTACGTTAGTCAAGTATGCAAACATTAGGAAATAAGTCCCAGGACAGGCTTAATTTTGTTTGTCACAATGCATATGCATAATGTGACCATCCTTTAGGAAGTGGTGTCAGAACAAAATCTCAGTAATTTGGGTTACATGTTCATTCCTCTCTGCCTTGCTCCCTGCCCCTCTTGAACAAGAGTCACGTAGCGGTCATCTTAAAAGGTATTACTGTAAAGCTAATAAAATACTAAAATTGGGTTTTTAAAAATTCGTATTGATGTAAGAATGAGACAGGTCAGAGTGTAGATTTTTAAGGTTTTTAGAAATGAGTTGAAAGAGAGGCGTTGTAGTAAGCAGAACTATATACTTGGGTACTTCATGGATTATAAAGTGGGACTTGAAACTAAGATGATGTACAAAGTATATCTCTATTTTAGTTAAATGTTAACTTGAAATACTTTTCCTGTCAATTATTGTAATAGAATGACAGACTTTATTACTTAGTCATCTCTTGGTAGAATAATGATGAGAATTTGAGCATCTCTGTTTCTTTTTCTATTCCTAGACTGCCTTAGCAGCCTCTCACAGCACAAGTAGCCACATACCTGGCACATCTACTTTGATAGGTGGTGTGGCAGACTCAGAGCTGGGCATGTGATATTAGTGTGCAGGGACAAAAGTAATGTTTTTTGCACTATTTTCTTTAGTGTGCCCGAGGCATACATTACAAGGCTTTGAAATGTCCCCTTCTCCCACTGTCGAAAGAATCTTTCTTGTTGCAGTTTTTGATATAGCAAGGCTTTGGAAACAAAAGTACTTAAAGATGAGTGGCTGAAATCCTTTTGCAGCTCAAGTGAGAGAAGTCCGTGGGTAGCTTGTGACACATAGAAAATGCAACAGTCTTGTGCTCCTCCAAATTTGAGAAATGTATGGAACCTTAGAGCAGACTTAATGTCTTAAAAAGCATTTTAACATACATTTGGCTACCTTTTTGCTTCAGTTGTACCTAGTGTGCTTCTCTGTCCAGAAAGACTGAGTTGAGGACTTGCATTTTGTTTGCTATTTTTCTGTAAATGGTTTTATACCAACTTTCAGCTGTTGCAGCTGTAAAGTGAGGACAGGGGTGCTACTAACTCCACTGATAATGCCTAAGGAAATTTATGGGGAGGCAGTTTTAAAGTGTGTGATTTTCATTTGGCGAAGTGTGTCAGTTTATATGTGAACCAAATTTGATAGTGGTATTATCTACGACTTATATGTGGAAGACCTATTCTGTTTTTTAAATGTGAAAGTTAAATGTTCCACTGGAAATGCAGGAGGTTTTTGCTCAAATATTGGAGTATGTGGTTTGGAGAAAAAGACAGGAGAAACCTTGTTGCCTCACAGCAGCTTGCTGCTGTGAAGACTGAAGTGTCTAAATTTTAATACGTTATGTTTCAAGACTTCATAGTCCTAAAACAAAGCACATGCTTTACAAAACTGAGGTCTAGTTTTATAACTTACTGCATCAACAGTTTAGTACCTGCCTAATTAAATATATCCCAAATAGGCCATTTAAATAGCAAGAGGTTTTTATTTTTTCCTTCAAAATAATTTTTTTCTTTAGTTTGGAGAATATGAAGTTCAACTACTGAAAGAAGCTGCAGTGTAAAATTATTGCTTTAAATGTAGTATGCCATCACCATAGTCTCTGTATAATTTCTCTTCAAGAATAATTTATTTTAATAGCTTTGTTCCCTGAACAACTTCATTCCTTCATATTGAAGCAGAGCAACAACACTTGTGATTGCATTTAATGTTCACTTTCGGTTGCAAATCTGAAATTATAATTAACAATAATTATATATACACACTATATAATTATGTATATATTATATATATAGGTATAATTAACAATTTTGGGGGGTGGTAGATTTAGATGACAGATTTTGAGAATTATATTCCAGCTCTAATAAAATATTCATAGCAAAGCATATGCACAGATCAGCAAATTCCATCTGCCTTTATCTTTCAAATTCAGTTGATATAGAATGTTTCTAAATTTTATGAACTTTTTTTTTTTTTAACTAAGGTTTTTTTTTCCTTTTGTACTAAATAGGCATTACTAGCTTTGGGCATCAGTCAGTCTGCAAGGACACCTGACCCTAGTCATCCGTAAGCTTTTTGAGTAAATAATGATTTTGGTAATTATATATAGGAGTAAGATCAGTTCTTGTTTGTACATCACCTTGTTCTTTTTAATCTGCTGTTTCATATAATTTCTGAGATGCCTTGTTTCTGATTTTACAATAGATAAAGTAAGTAAAGGGGTTTCTTCCAAACTGCAGGAGTTGTAGCTTCAGTGGCTTGATGCATGTTATAGTTCATAATTTTTTTTTATTTTTTTTTTTGTGGTATGCTTTTTGATGTGTATGATGTCAATTCAAATAATTTAAGTTATATTTAAGTTATTCTGGGCTTGTCTGCCTTCTCCAATGGATAGATTTGTTTTTAAACACTGTTCATATGAATAACAAGTTTTTTTAAAAATAAAAAGTGCTGTCCTCTTCCTATTTTCAACAAAGCGATCTGCAAGGCAGCTACCTGTATCATAAGGAGATGTGTTTGACTTAAACTACTCTTGGTTTTTATCTGAGTAACAGAGATATTATTGATAAGTTCTTACAACTTCATGAAAGTTAGAAGCTCTACTCTCTATGCGTTGACCTGCTTTACGCTTGATATGTTTGGGCAGGTCATTCATACTGTAAGCACTAGCTCAAAATATGTCTAACGTACAGAATTATTCAACTTTTTCTTCATTAAGAGCATCAGGTAATTTGAAAAATATTTTTCAATCTTAAATTTGTCTAAATATTCATTGTATCTGCTTTCCCTCTCTCACTTTTCCCCCTTCTTCCTCACTATAGTCTTTTGTAGTATTGGTTTTTAAATGTTGCTAAAGAAGTGTACTGTTTTGTACTAGCAGTTAATACCAAAAAAAGGAATAAAGGTAAACTTCTAATATTGCTTCAGCTCTTCCCACTGCTCTTAAAAACTGCAAGTGTTGAATGTCTGCAGTTATTTGAACTACTTAAAGATGTCACAAACTTTATTCCCATTAAATTAGCATTATGAAATATATAGACTGGCTGCCTGTAAGGCTAGAGTTTTCATTTAGAAGTAGCATTTCCATAAAATGTAAAAGTGACAGGAATGTTTTGTTGTGGGGTTTTTTTTTTTTACAGTAGTAAAATCCTCAGTGTCTGCACAAGAGCTAATACAGCTGTGTAAATAGCTTGTTTAAAAATGAATTAGGAAAATATCTATGTTTCATATCCTTGTGTGTACTTGATATCCTTTTCCAGGTGGCTTTTTTTTTCCTTGGATTAGGTTGGATTCAGCAGCCTTGTCTTAAATAGATGCCCAGTCATATGATGATAATTTAAGACAAGTAAAAACTAATGGAAAAAAAAACTTGTAAATGTGTTTGCAGAGATACAGAATTTTATTTTCCTAAATAACTTCCTTTGTTTTCATCTAGGTATGGTTTCACAAACATGCGCTATATCGCCTCCCTGATTAGTGGGGTAGGCATTTTCATGATGGGTGCAGGACTTTCTTGGTATCATGGGATCATAGGTTTACTCCACCCTCATCCTATAGAATCTCTTCTCTGGGTAAGCTAATCTTGATTGATATTGTATCTAATGCTGGTGATGTAACAGAAAGTAATGGCACAGTCTGAAATTCACTTCCTGAGTCAGATTGAATCCCAACACAATTAACTCAAACCATCCTTAACGAGAATGTGTTTTAAGGAAAAAAAAAAAAAAAAAAACCAAACCACGTTAAGCTATAGTTGATCTTATAGCAAAATGAGCTGTTCTTTAAACCCTGCATTTTCCCTTTATACCTCCCAAGAGGTCCTCCTTTCCTATTTTGCAACATGTTGCGTAATTCAAATACTGTTGGCTGCCTTCTGTTTGGGGACAGCTATGCAGCACAGTGGGTATTGAGTTTGGATAGTCTATGGTGAAGAGATCTGTACAAATATGCATATAACATAATAATTGAGACTTTTTTTTTTCATACAGGCATACTGCATTTTAGCAGGGTCATTGGTATCTGAAGGAGGTACGCAGTTTCAAGAAATATTTCTATTTAAGTATTCGTAATCTCTTAAGAGTACAGTATGAGTAATTACAGTAATAATTGGTCCTTGCTTATGCAGGAAAGTTTGAGCTCTGTTGCAAATACCTGTGTTGTACACAAACAAAAAAAGCTGAACACATAATTTGGAAAGTATACATAGAATGCCTTTTTGGTATTAAACTGTCAGTTCTGATTTGTATTGGAGACATGCATGTTAGAAAAGAAGGTAGCTTTTTCACAGAATCACAGAATGGCAAGAGTTGAAAGGGACCTTGGGAGATCATCTAGTCCAACCCTCCTGCTAAAGCAGGTTCACCTGCTTTGTCATTATTCAAAATATCAATAATCAGAATTTTTGTGATCTGTTGCTGTGATATAAAGAAAAGTTCCCTCTTTTCAACATGGAAACAAGTCTTTTTGCCTCTAACCGATTTCAGCAACTACTTTGGTGTTGTTTCAGCTACCCTTCTTGTTGCTATAAATGAAATTCGCAGGAGTGCTCGAGCCAAGGGTCTGTCATTTTATCAATATGGTATGTGTCATTGTAGCAGTAAGGTATGTAGTTATTAAAAACAGAATCTATTTACCAGTATTTGCATAATGATAGAAACAATTTTGACTGTTTTGCCTTTCCCTTTCCTCTTGCTCTATTGATGTTTTCTATTCTAGTAACAAATATGTTTTACGAATTAGGTGAAAACCTGTTGATTTAAGTAACATTACTTAAATACTTTTACTAAATTGCTTGCATTTTTCAGGATAAATGCCCCTTTACATTTTTTAAATGTTTTGGAGAAGCTTCCATAGTTGGCACAGGGCTTGTTCTGTATATTTATGAATGCTTTCAGAATTGTGTGCATATGCAAAAATTCAGTTTACAGCTATATACTTAGGGAAATTTTTCTCTTAAGTTGCTGGTGTCAGTATAGTTTAAGTACTGTGCATAATGTAGTAAAACTAAGCTTTCCAAAGCAATGTAACTTTTTTGTTGTATACGCAGTTGTGCAGAGTCGTGATCCTAGTACAAATGTTGTGTTACTGGAGGATGCTGCAGCAGTTCTGAGTGTGGCCGTCGCTGCTACCTGTATGGGTCTGACTTCTCTAACAGGTAAAATTCTGCTTCAAACTGAGGCAAGCAGGATGTGAATTTCCTCCTGTGTGTGATATGAACACAGAGTATTTAGTTTGTATTGGTTGACTTAAATACTTATCTACTCTTTTTCTGATACTTGTGCTGTGTAAGCTTCTGGAGGTTTATTCTGTTCTGTCATCTGATCTCTAGTCATTTGAGTTGAACATTTTTAAAATAAAAAAAGAAACTTTTGTGGGGTTTTTTGGTATGTCTATTCCTGGTGGGGTTAAGCTTGAAAGAGTACAGGCAGATGGGTCTAGCTTCCTTTTGAGCTATTTCATCATACCCACTAGAGTATTTTTTACTAAAGTATATTTATTGTGGTCAGTTACATAAATCACTTTGTGCCAAGGTGGGATTACATACTTAGAGCTTCCTTATTCAGCGGTGTGCAGCTCCATGTGCAAGTGGGGAGGATTTAAGGAAGCAGTTCTTTCCTTCCCTTTGATACGCAGTGGTATTAGTGTTATCTTCAGATTACAATAGCTGCTCCTGAACAGTGTGGCAAACCTAGCTCACACAGCTAGGATGATCTATATGGCAACTGATTCAAAGTCTGTCTTTGCGCAGTTAAGTTTTCTAAGGAGGGAAGAATATTTATTTGTCCCTTTTTAAGTATTGGCTTTGGCTTTTCAATTGTTTTAAAAAAAGAAATATGGCAAGTTTGTTTCTTTGTGCCTTCTAATGAGTTAATAGCAAGTTTCATTTTTTTTATATAGAAGTCAATGTTTTTATTCCATCTCTAGTTTCCTTCATAAACTTAAAAATACATTACTGTTTTTACAAATCTGAAATGAATGAATACATGTTTAAAACTGAAGTACTTTATTTCAGAAATGGTTAATACTTGCAAGTTTTTGAGTTACTGATAAAAGAACAGACTTTTGTGCTACTACTGGTGTTTAGGTGTATATAATTTTACAATGTAAATCTATACACAGAAACTCAAATTGCTGACAAGTTTACTCATTTATTAGACCTACAGGAGACAGGAGTGGCTGAGGGACAGGAGGGACTTGAGACTTTATCTGAAGATGATAGCTTGTGTTCTTCCCACCTCATCTTATTCCTCAGTAGGAAAGAATTGGCAGTACATTAAAAAACAAAAAACAAAACAAACCCAGAAGTCCCACCAAAAAGCAAAAACAAAAAAAACCAGAACCCCCCCAAACCTGTGTACTCTTTTCAGTGTGAAATCTGAATTATCTGCTATGTTTTAGAAATGATCTGTGAAACTAATTTGGCATGTCTTGTTTAGGAAACCCGTATTATGACAGTGTGGGGTCTCTAGGTGTTGGAACTTTGTTAGGAACTGTGTCAGCATTTCTAATCTACACTAACACCGAAGCTCTCCTGGGACGATCCATTCAACCTGAACAACTGCAGCGACTCACCGAGTTACTGGAAAGTGATCCTGTAGTAAGGTAAGAATCTTTACAGCTCAGTTTCGACTAAGAACAAAAAAAAGCAAGAAAATTAACAGTTGGAAAAAATAGTTCATGAGAGAAATCTGGTGAGATTGATTATTTTTAGGGTGGATTCTTCTGTATTGAGATTTTAGAATCCTAATTATTACTAACTTCTATTTCTGTGCTAGAAACTTCAATAAGTGATATCTTCTCAGATACTCCACAGCTGAAATAAAATTGCAAATATGTTCTAACAGTTACATAATTGCAGGAGTTGACAATGAGAAAACCATCACAAACTTAAAACTATTTTCAAATGCATGAAGTGCAAGCACTTAAATGATACCATAGTGTTGCTTTTATAGTTTATTAGCACTTACTGAAATTCTGTTACTGTTAATATTCAGTGTCTTGAATTCTCTGTCAGTTGGCAGTGAAGTGCTGCAGTTATATTGTGATGTAATAGAATCCGTATGTTAGACGCTTATTTCTCTTTGGAAATCTGCAGTTTGTAGTGAAATAAACTTACAGCTCATAATTCTGAAATCTTGTTTAAATGCTTTTTAATGAGTTATTTTAGCTTACTTTAACCCTATTAACTTTGATTTAGAAGCAAACCCCTTTTTATTTTCTTCTTAGTCTTTATTCAGGAATATATTTATGTGTAAATCAGCTGGAATATTTTAGGGCTTTTTTTTTTTATTTGTAGTCATTATTGAGCTCTGGAGGGAAAAAACCAAGCTCATTAGTTAACACCAGAGTACTTGAAAGAAACTAAGTGCTGCATCATCTCAGTTGTAAGCAACAGGTCTGAATGACATGCCCATCATTCCAGAAGCTAAACAAGATCCTATTTTGGAAATAGAATTGTGTTAGAATTTTCACATGACAGGAACTAAACTCTATTATTGTGGTGGCCCTGGATTAGTCTGAATGGTACAGCACGTGTTGTCAGTGCTGTGTTAGAGTAGGTGAGTTCACATGGTTATTTGTACACGACTTCTGCAGTTCTTTTTTCCCAAAGTGCACAGGTGGCTTTTGCTTGTCTCAGGCTGGAATCATAAAATTTCTCCTATCCCAAGCACCATTTTATATTACATTCCATTTTGTAGATGGCTATAACTTCTCAACAGAGCAGACTTAGTTCATCATCTCCTTGCTGTAGACATTTTTTTTTTAAAACAAAAAGTAATTTAATTTTAAAAAAGCACGAAGAATAAAAAAAGTGAAGACTTGGTAAGAAACTGCATGCTTCTCTTAAGGTTAGAAACTGAAGCCGGTTTAGGTACTTCTCATAACACTGCAGGGCCTTCTGTATGCACTTTGTCTTGAGTGATCTCTTTCTTAGGTCCATTGCATTATCCGCCTTGATTTCTTTTAGCTCACGCTTTGTCTTTGACCAAGTTGTAACAAGCCTAATATCTTGAGCTTGGTTAACTTACATCGTACCTGGTCTTGATCTCAGAATTGTTTGAGATGTAAATGTATATTACCCTTGCTTGTAACCAGGCTTAATTTGGGAAAAAAGCTACTTTTTTTCTTATTCCAACCTTTGGTGAGTTAGGGTTTTGTTTGGTTTTTTTCAACCTTTTCTTGTGAAATAAGGAAGTCTTATAGCACCAAGTATTTCTTCAAAAGGCTACTTGTACATTTTCATCGATATAGCTTTGGGCTTGTAAGAGTTTCAGCATTTTCTTGAACATTGAAACTTTCCCATTTTCTTAAATGGAGTTGTGTAGTAGCATGTCCTACTCTTACAGTTTTCCTGAAATGTAAAAGAAGCTCCTGAGTACTGGTCTGCTTCTAAAGCTGTGACTAATATTAGTCCTTTTTATTTCAACCTTTCTGATTTTTCAGCTATCAAACTGTATCTGAGTTCTCAATGCAATCCTTCTTGCAGTTGCTGCTTCCCAGAACAGTCATCCTTTATTCTTTCAGGGAGGGTTTGCAGTCTTTATTTTCGGATGTGTTGTGCCAAATACAAAGGGGATATATTAGGGAATCATTTGGTATTCATCAGAAGGTATTTTAGATCCAAATTGACCAAAGGATCTGGAGGTTCTGATTTCCGCTCCCCCATGCCCCTGTCAGCAACCACCACCATTTAACTTATTATTCCAGCAGTAGCTTGCCTGAACATCATGTTCTGCTGCTAATTATAAAGTACTTGATTTATCAGACAATACTAACTGCTGTACTACTAAAATAAATAATCTCTGTGTCGTTGATCTGTATTTTTTTTTCTTCTTTTACAGGGTTGTTTGACAAGACCTACATTCCCTAAAACCTTAATGACTTAAATTAATGCTCTTAATATATAATTTTTTTCCCCACCTTTTTTGCTAGTTTTCCTTGGGTTGTCAGGTGAAGTTGTCTTTGGTTAAATGGATTGCCTCATTTGCTGTTCTTAAATTTTGGCACAGTGTTGTTAATCTACATTTTTTTTTTTAATTCTTATCAATATTGTAGGATGAAAAATTAATTGGCCTTCACACTTATTCTTAGTTCTTTTTACTCTTGAATGCAAGTTATGGAGCCTGCTGACTTAGAAGCATTTTTTTCCTTTTAAATACCCAGTATGTTTCTCTGCTACTAATAGGGACATGCTTTGTTCTGCTAATATATTGTTTTGCTTTTTTAGATCAAGAAAATAGTGATTATTGCATGTTTCTGCCTATTCTGTATCATCAGTAACAATTTCCCTCTAGTAGCAGGCTTAGTTCCAGGTTATCCTTTGGTTTTGCTATACTTAAAAAAAAAAAAAAAAAAAAAAAAAAGTTGGTTTGTATTGCGCACAATGTTTTTTTTATGCTTCTCCTATCAGTTTGCTGGACTTTTTCTTTTTTTTTTTTTTTTTTTTTTTTTTTTTTTTTTTTTTTTTTTTTTTTTTTTTTTTGCAAATGGCTATTTATTTCCCCTTTCTTTTCATTTTGCTCGGTAATTTCTGGTTGTAGCCTTTTTTTCATTTGTGATTTGAATGGGCTTTCAGTCAGTTGTTCTCAGCTGGAAAATTATTTGATTTTATTTTTTGCTATATAAACATTCCATTTTTAACTCTCATTCACACCTTTGGTGCCTAAATCTTTCTTGTGTTCAGCTTAACTGAAGTGTAGGAGACTAGGCTTTCAGAACTGTGAAATAAAATATATGATGTGGTACAGACAGTCCGGATTCTGTTCTTACGGAATGTAATTGTGGATCCCTAGGCATAAACTATTCTTAGTGATGGTTTCATCTTTAATTTTTACTTCATTGCAACAGCTATTGGGTAATTGTGCTACTGTTGTGCTGGAAAATCTGTCATTCTGTTTTGGAGGGGGGAAAAAAAAAATATTACAACTGATGGCTCAAAACCAATAACTTGATGTCATCTGACAAATTTTTCTTTAATGTGAAACTTGCTCTTTCCCCTAGTTTGAATTGGTGTCTACTAGCCATCTAGAAGCTTCCATAAGCAAGCTTTGTAGCTTAAGTTTTAGCATATGCATTTGTATTTTTGAATTATTAGTGATTTTTCTCCTTCTGACTCACTGTCTTATCTTCTCTGGACAGATTATAAGCAGTAAGGTAGACTTTTCTTCACAGTTACAGAATATGCATCATTCTGCTGAATTTTATCAGGTTACTGCTTAATGAGAATCTCAAACATCTCTTGTTACCTTCTTGCTTAGCTCTGATAGGCACTTGATAGATCTTCAACATTTTTGAATCACATGGATTCAAATTCTCTTCAATAACCCTCACGGAACCACATCTGTTATCTTAAATACCCTCTTGTGTGAGGAGGTAGCTTGATGCTGGGTAGGTTGCTCCAGTTAATACTGTTTTGATTTGGTAGCTTCCCACAGAATAGCTGCGTAAACTTGATTGGAGCTGGAAATTCTTTATGGCTACCAGTAAGCTGATAGTTCTTTTAATCTGCTTAAATGTTTACTAAGATGTATTTTTTGGTGTCTCTATATTTAGTTCATGTTCTGTTTCTTTTTAATGTGCTTATCCCTCCTCCACCCTGAGTATTACAAGAAATATTCCATAAACATTTCCTGTGACTGTTCATCTTAAATTTCTGCCTCCTGTTCTTTGTCGGCTGTTCACTCTAGCAGGCTACTTCCAAAACACGTCTTCTGCTTTCTTCCTGCACCACCTGTGAAGTTAGTTCTAAATTACAAGCATTCAGACAAGAAGAAACATTTCTGGTTGGGAAGAGTAAATTTGCTTAAGAAAAAGGGCATGCTAAACGTAAAGATGCTGTGAAATTATACAACTGAGCAAAATGAATGGGGGAAAAAAGTTTAGTACTTTGCATCAAGTGAGCTTTATTGCCAAATCTAATTTTTGTGTTAGAATTTTAAAAAATCGTTAAAATTGCATTTTTCTGTTAATAAAACCAAAGTCTTTGGAATATCTTATAGTTGATGTCAGATACATGTTTTGCTTTGCAATGTCAGAAGAAAGAATTTCAAAAATTCAAAACTTTGTGATTTATGTCCCATATTTTATTCTTCACTTTTTTCTGACCTTGACGGAAAAGTGTGGAAACTAACTCTGCAGTGGCAATTTTACATTCTACTTAGCTTTAAAGATAAACTAAACTTGTGTTAATCTAATTGGAAAAAACCTAGAGTGTTTTATGTTATGATTTTATTTTATATTTATTCCAGTCTTGAAATGCACCGCAATATGTCTGGGTCCTGCGTTCGCTTCATATCATCTTATCCCTGAAAAATAGAGGACTTTTTGTTTATTACCTATATTCACTCCTCATATGTCTGGGTCCTGCGTTCGCTTCATATCATCCCTGAAAAATAGAGGACTTCTTGTTTATTACCTATATTCACTCATTGCAGAGTTTATCTAACAAACTGCAACAAAACTGTGCTATAGAAACCCAGAAGTTCTCAAAGGACCAAAATATAAACATATTGCAATGTTCATGTTCTAGTATCTATAAGGGACCTTTAAATAAATACATGTTTTCACCATTTACAAATAGCTGTATTGTGATTAGTTGTGGTCAAAAATTAGTTCCAAACACAATACCCATGACTTTTTCTTACATCAAATGTAACTTCGAATAAAAAATTCTCCAAAAGGTTGTGCCTTTACAAATTGTGGTTATCTAGGAAAGGACACTTCTATAATTGCAATGCGTGCTTTCAGTAATTAACTATGGATTATTGTTCTTTACCTCAGAATTGAGGGTATTTAAAGAATGTTAAATAGTGTCATGTATATGTATGTGCACAAAAACTGTTGTGTGGTAGCAAATAAGTTGCACTTAAAAGTTTAACTCAGAATAGAGAAGTTCTCACTTTCTGTTGTGGGATGGTTTTTTTTTTTTTATACTGTTAGTCTAGTTCTAAATCTGCAGTGCTGCTTGTAGTCTGTCTTTTATTGCAGCGGGCCATTTATAGATGTGTTGGTGTAGCAGATACCTATAGAAATGGTATAACCAGTTAATTATAAACCAATATTTAATGGAAGTGTGTGGTGGCAAAATGAGGATATGTTAGTCAAAGGCAGTGGCCTTTTAAAATTACAGGATCATTTTACTGTGATGATATTGTTAACATAAGAAGTCAAACTAGCTAGTTGCTTGTTTTATGTTGTTCTACATTTTCTTTAAAAATTATGTGTTTCAGAGCAATTCATGATGTTAAAGCCACAGACATGGGAATGAGCAAAGTGAGATTCAAGGCAGAAGTAGACTTTGATGGACGGGTTGTTACTCGTTCTTACCTGGAAAAACAAGACATTGAACAGCTACTACAAGTATGTTTAAAAAAAAAATGGTTTTGTAACTTCCAGTATTTGATATTTACTTTCCAATTTCAAGTATGTCGAAACCAAGATTTTCAAGTAGGTGAGATATATTCCACTTCTTCATTTTGAAGGATTGCAGATGTTTTTACTTTGTGTTAGTGTGTGCTGCTGAAATAGAGCCTGCTGAGTAGGGTCTGGGTAGGAGGAGGGCAGATTTTTTTTAATTCAATTTTTTTGTTAGAAAATACAAATTTGTCCAAAATAACTTTGAAAACATAATTCTTCCAATATATTCTTACTGATTACAAGATCTCTAGTTAAAACTGGAAGCTTGTCACCTGCAAATAAGCATCTGTTTTGGCAGAGCCATTCGCCTTGGGTGCTGAAGATGCAGTGTTATGGTTTGCAGATCCTGTTGTTCAGACTAGGCTTGAATATGAATTGCTTGCATCACATGACTTAGCGTTTTGACAGCATTTAACAATTAACCACCCTTAAGTAAGTGTCTGTCTGTTTTTAGTGTCATTCAGAGTAGCTTTTCTTAATCCCTCTTCAATATAAAAATGCAAAACTGCTTTCAGCTGGATTCTACATGGCAAAGCTATGATGTAAAGAATAATTTATCTAAATTGCAAGGAGAGTTTTAAGTGGGCAAAATGTTTTGCTTGCTTACCCATTTTCCACCAGTAACTTACTTATATATATTTGCTTGTGTACCTACAAGATTTCTTTCTTTGCTACTCTTCTGAAATGAAAAATAGATGTCAGATGTCTGCATTTCATGTCTGTCCATTAAACACGACTTAAAAGTTGAGTTTACATTTAAATTAGTGCAATTTTTTAGTTCATTAGTCAGCATCCCAGTTTTTAATGTCAGAATAAGAATGTGTGTATATTATATATATAGTGCAATAAGTGATCTGTTCATGTATTGGATTACAGTTTAATACATTTTTGAGAGGAAGAGTGTTACCAGCTTTGCACAACTGAGGCACGGCAGATTTTCTTGGTTTTATGTTGCCAAGTCTCAGTTGCTTTGCTGTTGCAGCTGTTTGGTGTGCTGCTTTTCAAAGTAACTTTTTGTTAGCTTTTGTTCTTTACCCACTATTCCCTTTAGCGATTGCATATGACCTTCGCTGGTTCTTTCAACTAGTATAGTTGGGAAAGTTCTTCCTGATTGTTTCTAGGTTGGCAACTGTTTCTTACAAAGGTCGTTGTAGTTTCAAGTAGGAACCTTGTGTCAGCTGTAGAACCATTGTTGAAGGATGACTGCTTTCAGCAGTACTCAGCCACCCGAAGTCAAGGGCGGGCATAGTGCTTGCCTTTTGATCTATAGTTTTTCAAATAACTAGCTCATTCAACTAGCATTGCTCTTTCTAAAGTTGTGAAATATTTGTTGAAATGTTATCATTCAGATTAATCTTGTTTCTTTTTCTTGTTAGACTTGCCGTGATCGTAGTCATAAGTTATTGTGGTTGTGATATCTTTTAAGCTCACTCAATTACATTATTCCTCTTCAGTTTTACAGTCATGGCAGGGAAAAGAAATGGATGTTGTGTTGTAGTTGTATACACAAGAAGAATTAACTATTTAATAATTACTTTGTTAGCAATAACCTATTGTTCCTAAACATACTGCAGCTGTATTGCCTATACTATGGCTGAGATCCTACAGATGGCAAATGGCCTCTGGCCAACTTGGTGTTGAGACCTCCAGGGAAAGGTCATGATAATGTGTAATACATGCTTTGGTGCTTGTGATGCCTGTGGTTTTTTTGGACGGAGGAGCATAGCATCCTGTCTTCCTTAACCTCATTCCTTTGGTCTTGTATGCTATGGGTCTCCTAGTCTGAGTTCCTATCAACAGTCTTTGAGTTGTTTGATATTATGGAGGAGCCATATTTACAGCAGCATTCATAAAAATCCTTGTGGATTTTCAGGTGAATTGGTAACACGATGCCCAGAGTAAGCAGTGTAATGGAATAGCAAAAATGTGTGAAAATGAGGAAAGAATACAGGGGTGGGTACCCTCCTTGCTCTGCTTTGCTGTGAGCAAGGGATGCCTCAGAAAATGAATGAAATTCTCTTAAGCTCATTTGGAAAATAAAGGAGGAAATCCACTAAAGATAGAAGAAGGTTTTATATCAAGTGCAGGTGTAATGGTAAGCCAGCTGTTTTCATTGAATAGATGCCACTCTTCTGTGTCTCCGAGACATAAGAACATACGACATTTTGAAAAGAAGTGGCAAAAGCTGAGAAGTGTTTGTTTTTTTTTGGGTGGGTGTTTTTTTTTTTCACCCACTTGAAATATGTTAGGAACCTCTATAGTATTATTCTTTTCTTTTTTCCCTCATCTCAACTTCTTAAATTTGATTTTTTCCTAGGAAATTCAACAAGTGAAAACTCTTGAAGAATTAGAAGCCTTCATGCTTAAGCATGGTGAGAATATCATTGACACACTGGGCGCTGAAGTAGACAGACTTGAGAAGGACCTGAAGGTAAAACTTAGCTGCTCATTAGGGAGTGCTTATTCTGTGATATATTTTAAACAATATCACTGCATCTACTTTTTGGGATTTTGTTTGTAAATACGGAGAGGGGAAGAGGTTGATAATCCAAATGCAAATTTTGTTGCTGTAGTATCATCAACTAAGTTCTGACCAGCAGCAAGCCCTTACTTTGCCACTGATCCATTTGTTATGTATTTTGTTCAGTTTTGTACAACTGTAGAACAATATTTTCATGAAATGAGACCAGATTGTGTCTTTGTTACTGTATCCTCAGAATGTCAGGTTATTTATTGGCTGTTGAATTCTGTTTTGGTTGTAAAGAAGCAAATTTATTTATTTATTTATTTAAAATTGGTACTTAGCATTGTATCAAATGTATCAGTCTGTGATGAAGGCTTTACTCAACATCTTTTGCTCTTGCTGAAGCAGTACAGTGTTTACTTCTTTTATAAGCCTGTGATAACCTTTTACTTTTTTTGCTCTGTGATTTAAATATCCTTTGGTTGATGAAACAAAGGACTGTTTCCACTTTTAATTTTTAATTATACTGTGGCTGTTAATCTTTTAGTTCTGTATTCATGCCAGAAAAGGTAAGGAGACTGACTGCCAGACAAATACAGTCCTGTCATGACTGCCTTTCCTGGTCATCGGGAGACGCTGCTCAATAGCATGTCTGTCCTTGCTTATTATATTTGATAAATACTCTAGTTTCAGTTTCTATGCCTAGAGTGGCGCTGTTCAAAAATCAAAGTATTATTTTTGAGTTTAATTGCACCAGCAGATCCATGGTTTTTGAGAATTAGTATCATGACTGTTTTATGAACACGAATACTGTTTTTTGGTATAGGCAGGGATTTCGGGGATTGTGTTGCTGTTGAATATGCTTTACTAAATATGCTAGTCAGATTCGCATGCTGTGGATGGCTTTGAAGTTGGTGACTTTCGGTAAACCTCTCATGGATTATACAATCCATGTAATGACAATCACATACTTCTGCAATATCAGAAAATACATGTTTCTTAATAGAAACAGTATTTTGAATCTTTATAAATAGCTTCAATGGCATAGAACAAATTATTTCAGCAATCTTATGCATCTTATGCATTATTCAGGAAAGTATCTGTTAAAACTTAGTGACAAGTATGTATATGTTTATTTGGACAGTTTTGTATAAAAACAAACTGCCTTCTTAAAATCAAGAGAGTTGCTTCATACTTTACAAAGCATAAGAACTAATTTATCTGTGATGTGGAAAAGTATTTGTCAAATAAAAAGATGACTTAGCCTTCAAAAAATTTCTTATAGTGTGGGCAATGTTTGTTGAAGCTATTCCTCATTTTAAAGTAGTCCCTATGTTACCTTTTAGAAAAGGGGATTTCTTACCCAGTTGCAAACATAATACCAGAAATACATTATCCGTATCCATGTGCAAAAATGTGTTTGAATATTTTCAATAAAAATGTTTTGGTTTGTGTTTTCTTTTATTTCAGCAACGAAATCCTGATGTTCGTCATGTGGATTTGGAGATACTATAGACTTGGCAGAAGAAATCTTCAGGTTGCTACCATTTTGGAAAGAAGTCGTAAAGGGCTGAAAAGCTTCTGAAATTGCAGTGGCCTCAGCACCATACCTCGCTTACTTCTGCTGAAGGCTTCCTGGACTGTTAGCACTGCTTCTGTTTCTGGAAGAGCGCTAGACTCGCAGACAAGAATTTCCATGACAAAATCAATTTAAAAAAGCTACTTGACTTAAATTCCACAGGAGAGTCTGTCAGAGTATATTTACTGCAATTCAGAGCTTAGGACTTGAGGTTTAGTTAGGCAAAAATAGCTGCCTGAAAATATACAACACACTTAGTTTTTCCATTTGTGTCCCTTTGCAGTCAGTTTGCACTTCTTTAGTTTCTTTCAAGATATCATTAAAGGTTCTTGGGAGATATTAAGATTAGCTAGGAAGAGTTTGTTCCAGTGGAACCTGCCAACCTTAAACTAATTGTAATATTTCAACTGTGTGATCGTTTCACAGTTTTTCTTTTCTATGAGATAAATTCTTTCGAACAGGCACTGGCCTTCTCTCAAGTACCATGACCTGGAAACTTGCTTTTTGCCACCGTTGTGATTACCAACTGCACTTCAGAAAAATAAGGTTTTTCTCCTCAGTGGAGTCAGCTGGATGTGGTTAGCCAGAGTATGTTAAGTTACTGTGAAGAAATTACTGTGTAGAGATTTCAGTGAACTTCCTCTGTTTAATTTTTGTTCTTTTTTTTTCCCTACTTTGACACTTGTTCTCTTATTTGTAAGCAACTTCAGATGTAATCTGGGAGATATTTATGGTAGTGCTTATTAAAAGTTACCTGGCATTTCTGGCTTTTTATACTTTTAATAGGCTGTATTGCCAGATACGGTCTTTGCTAGAAGGTGTAAGAGATGTAGTTGGAAGTTACAAGAGTAAAAAATGTATTAGAACTATTTATAATTAAAAACATGAATACATTTTATTTTTAATTTATTTACCTCTAGACATTATCCATTACCTGAATTCTAAACCGCTTACTTTGTGTTTTTTAAGAATTGACCTTGCTTGTTTGGGAAAGTAAAGTAATTCTATCAGTGGTCCTCAACAATCCTGAGATAAGAGCTTATAACTCCAAAATGTGCAATTCTAGCACTGTATGTAATCAGCCTCAAGGCTTTCTGCAATAGGCAACAAAGTTGTACTAGATCTTTTGAGACCCAGTCTTGGTTAATAAGGCCATGAGTACTGGTCATGCAAGTTGAAATGGAAGTGAAATAACTGCATATAAATAACTCTGAGGAAAGTCCGTTATGCACTTCAACGTATTTCAGTAAAATGAGAACTGTCTGACTTGCTGAAGGAAGAAATGTTGATATGAAACACAAGTCTTCAAATATCAATTTAATATTAAATTATAAGCATTGCAGCAAATAATAATTGTGGAGACCAATATGTCCAGATTTGACTAAAAGCTTTTTAGAATATTTTTTTCACACTAAGTGTCACCAGGGAATTATGAGAATTTAAAATAGCATGCCTTTTGACAACTGCAAAGCACTTTGCATGCTGGTTACTTTGAGTAGAAAAACATTCCAAAGTTTAGTTAGAGATGGGACTTCACATACAGTAATTGTGGACGAAGGGGTCCATTTAGTACCCTTGCCCATAATCCCTGTTCAGCGGTGGCTTCTATATAGCATGTTAGCTCATTATGGCTAATCCAAAAGAAGGTTTACTTTATTTGGTTTTCTCCTATTGTAGAGCTAGTGAGTATATTTAAGCCTGATGATTTGAAATGCAGTTTAAAGGTAATTTGGAAGTGTACTGTATCGACTAAATAAGGCATGTTTTAGCACACTATAAATCACTTACCTTTCTCCTTGCCCTTCCATGTAAACTTCATCTCAGTTATGCACTCTGCTGATGTTTTTGTCTTATTCATGAAGAGCGCTGGAATCTGATAATGCATAACCTCTTTCCTTCTTCCTAGAGTATTTATATGAATTTTGAATTTGAATGAACACTTTAATAAACCTGTTATTCTAGAAATCTTAAAAACCTGAAGAGAAGTAAAACTGGGGAAACGCTCTTACTGCGGGGAGGTTAGTGGGGACAGCTACTGTAATGTGGGGTTTGTATGCTGGAGCTACTGATGAATGAGTCGTGTTAGTGTGTACTTTGCAGGGCAGAAATTTCACTGAGAGGTTAGTAAATGCTATCTCAATACCAAAGTGTTCCCATATCTTGTTTAAGAGGAGGCATGAGTTTATAATCTTACAGGGCATCTGCTCCAAAAGCCTGTAAAAATGTTTTCTTATTCATCAGAGATGTAATTCATATGAATTCTGATCTTAATTTCCTTATTTGAGTCAGAGGTGTGCCCATCCACGCACCTTTTGCTTGTGTTCCAGGATAAAATTCAGATCCTTGTCTCCCAGTTATATAACTGATTATAGCATCACAATACCTTAAATTTAAGAAGCCAGAACTTGACTGCTTTTGGGTACATAACAGTTGCATAGTTTGAGGACCCAGTTCCGCCACCTGGATGGTGATGTACCACAAGAAGGCAGGCAGCCTGGTTTTGGCAGTACCTTGTAAGCTTACACGTCTTGCAGTTGGATGAAAATATCAATTCATTGAGCCTCTCGGTTTGGAAAAGAAAAGTAATTCCAAGCTGTTACATTTTAATATATATTACAATTTGCAGATTGTTTTTAACAGTTTTGACATTTTTACTGGTGTGGGTTTTTTTTCCTTAACTGTCTTTATGATCTAAAACTTGAGGTGATGTGGGTCCAGTACTTACTTTACTTTTGGTTTAGTGTTTTTGGGGAAGATGTTTACCTAATACATTTACATGATAGTATCCTCAGAATTAGAGAAAACTTACAAAGTGTGGAGGAGTGGATTTCTTCTTTATCACAGATGCAATGACATAATGTTTCCTTCAGATTAATTTTAAGGAAAATGGAGTATTTAGCTAACAAAGTTATATTTTAGGATTTTTTTCAGTTAAGGTGTGGTCTTCTAAAATAATTTATTTTTGTAGACTGGCCTTGCAGGTTCTGTTTTTTCAAACTGTGTTCGAAGCACTACTGCCTTTTGCTTTGTGAAAGGTGGCTTACATGTTGTGCAATGTCTCTTAATTCTGTAAAACTTGCGATGTTTGCAAAAATTGTCCTAGTGTTCCAATGTATGGAGTGATGTTAATGTATTTTGAGTCAAAGTTGGCTGGACACTAATAATGCGTGTTTACCTGTAGAATTTGTTTTTCTATAAAAGATAAAATTCTGAAGTGATTATCTTTCCCCCATGAATCAATTTCAAGTCTAAATTGTCTCCTTCATGCACTGCGGAATTCAGTATTTGGTGTGGTCCCCCTCTGCCCCTCCACTTTCTAAAGTATTTATTAAGCATATTGTAGTAGTAAATACTTCAGTGGGCTACTGTTGTTATGGAGACTGTTTGCTGTGTGTTCTGGTCTAGAAGTAGCAGGGATTTGGGGAACAGGAGAATGTATTTTTTTAAGGGCAAGTTGCATCCTTTATCCTCTGTGACTTATACTCAAGCTGAAGGCTTTTTAGCCTCTGCTCTTCTCCTTGAATTCTCACACAGATTTTTTTTTTTTAAATTTTATTTTAATAACTCTTACTTTTAGAGGAGGAAGCCATTAACGTTTTTAATAGCAGGGCTAGATGCTGCTCTTGGTCTCTGGATTTTGTACTGTACTTCTTGTTCATTGATTGTTGACAGTAGTGATTGCTGTTTTGAAAGCTACAAATCAGAACTACCAGAGCTTTCTGATTCTGGCAGGTGCAGTTTTTTCAGCTGTATCTGGACACTCAGTTTTTATTGACATGTTTTTACTGGCCCCTCTTTGATAAGGGGGGAGTATGGGGCAGAGTTCTAGGTATGTTTTGTCTAGGTGATGCACTAATTGCAATTCTGTCTTCTCCTTGTTGTTATCATTTTAGCTGACTTGTCTTTTTTCCGTAACAAAGAAAAAATTACGCATTATGGAAGTACCTCTGCTAATGATGAGTGCATCAAATACAGGCTTCCTGCAAAGAGTTCTTAGGCTTTTGTGTATTGAAAGCATGGCAATTTTTGAAAATTCTCAATTAAGTAATCCTTTTTCTAAAGTTGATTTAGATGTGTTTCTTACAAAGGAATCCACAGAAGCATATTGTTTAAGATTTGAAAGAGAAGTATTTCATTTTATGGTCATACGTTCTTAAAGCATTTTGTCTTGGTAGAAAAGAACAATTGATTAATATTGACTGCTTCTATTCTTATTGTCAGCTCTGAATAGAGAGTACAACTAACATCTCTTTTGCAGTTTACCTGCTTAATGTAAATGAGAAGTAGAGGTGTACCAAAAAGGTATTTTTTCTTGTAGAGGGGTTGCATAGCTTAAATAAGTAATTTTTCTTTTCTTCTTAGTGAGACGCAAATAATTAAGATCAAAAGTAGACTATTTCTTTATTACACATAAAAAGAAAGAGGAATCCAGGCTTTAAGCACAATAGTCAGATTTTTGAAATGCATGTCCTTTGAGGAAAATAAAATGGGCCAGGAGCTCTAAGTGGTTGTATGGACTATAGAAACTGCAGTCAATCAGGCTTTGCTGAAGCAAAAGAAAAGAAACTATAAAAAAGTGTGTGGTAAAAAGAAAAGACAAGGAAGGAAAAAAAAAACTAAGGTGTTGAGCACTTGGGAATAGGAAAAGATTAATGTAATCTAAAAAATGTGGCCAGAAATAAGAAATGATGATCGGAGAGGAAAAGAACAGTAAGAAATTATATTTAGTTAGAATGCATAAAACCATATAGTGTGACATTCTCTTTCTTTTAGCAATAGTCAGATAGTTGGGTGATTCCTCCCTCCCGCTCCCAGCAAAAACTTTTTTTTTTTTTCTTTTCCTGTAATGAAAATCAGTGCCTCCATTTAACTGTTCCCTAATATGGTACTCAGTCCTGCAGGTATAAACCTATTTGCTCTCTGAAAACTTAGTCTTATTGGGTGGTGCTGGAATCTCAGTCTGGAGCTTTGTTGGTGAGGTATGTATTTGGTGAGTGGAGGGCAAGTAATTTCAATTGTGGAAGCGGGAACTGGAGTGAATTAAAGATAAAAGGAATTGATTCTTTCAGCCAGAAAATGATGGAAGCACCATACTGAAGATTTTAGGGGGGGAAGGTGCAGTGTTCTAAGATCTACAGAATTCTTGCAATGGACTGTAATCTTCGGTGAATATGTTTGACCATATTTTTCAAGTTGCTTAAATGTCTGTGGATAAGCAAGATTTCTAGTTAAATCATCACATTCTGAAAAGGAGTTAAAGAAAACGTTCAAAACGTAATGTGAGAAGGGTGTACATTTCTTAAATACCACAGACAGAGACATCATAATATTCTAATAGATTGGCAGAAAATTGTCATTCTATCCTGTATTACGTGAGGCTGCTGAGGACAACTTCTTTTTTTCTGTGTAAATCAAAGCCAGCAATTAAAATAAAAGGTCTTGGTTACTTTTTGTGTTACAGTAACAGTAATTTGACCAGTAAGCCTGGTCAAATTTTTGTATTGTCAGCATTCATAGTGCTGTTATGGGGAGAACGTGTTTGTTAAAATAGTGGAATACAGTTCCACACTCTAGGATATGTTTTGATTTTTTTGTAACCTAAATTTAGACTGTATTTAAAACTTTTTGAGGTTGTGATAAGCTGCTTCAAGTCTGAAGACAGAAGGAAAAAAAATGCAATGTTGTATAAATGATGTATAAAGGGTTTTTTTTGTAAGTTTATCTTCAAATGAAAGACACTAAAGAATGTCTGTGTGAGAAGAAGCATTTGAAAAATGCCTAAAGCATTTGGAAAACATTTTGGCTACTGCCAAAACTGTATTAAATCTGAAAGTCAACGGTGAGGATTTTCACTGGTGAAACCAGTGAAAGCACTTTCAAAGGGCAATCTCAAAGTTGAAACATGATTTTCCACACAGCCTTTTAATCAAATGTATTCTACCTCCCTCCCCCACCCCACCCCACCCCCATGCTTTTTGCTGTATTGGCTTTTTCATTCTGTGTCTTGGTTACTTCATATTAGTATGGGGAAGTCCTTTTGATTTGTGAGGTGTAGACATTGAACATTTCTCTGCATATGTTTGTTCTTTTGTAATTATACTTGAACTCAGAACATCCTGTAAAGTGTCTAAGAGTTGTAATTATTCAGTAAAATGTTACATAGCCGGTAAAGGTTGTGTTCTGTTAATTCAAGCAACTTTATGTATATCGTAAAGGTAAGCAATAACACTGGCTTTACGCAGTTGATGGTTTGCTACGTTTCTGAATTCCAAATGCATAGAACAGTACTTTGTGGATGCAGACCAAAGGTTATGTCCGTCTCCTTGTTCTAGTCACTCGGTTTGCCTTTGTTGACAGTACACACTCTGTGAAACAGCATGCACTCGGTACGTGAGGAACCTGCCTCGAATAGCCACGCTGTATTTATTAATACTCTGTATTTCAGTGGCAACTGAACCTTTCATCCTATTCGCCCCCACCCCAAAGAGCATGGTTCCTTTCCCGGTAGGGAGCAAGCCCTTCCTGCGCCGCACAGAGGCCCCGCTGGCAGTATCTCCAGTTGGAACTCCCAGTTCTGATCCACATCTGAGGATGACATGAAGAAAGGTAGTAAGACAGATGGGTTGCGTTTCTGTGTATAGTCAAGGGTATGGAGAATTTGTTGGAAGAGGTTGGGTTTATGTGGTAGACTTGCATAATAACTGTAGTTCGACAATCCCAGCAAAGCTGTCCAAGCCTCTTAAGAAGAATCTAGGTATCATTCACTTGAAATTAGTTGGCTTACAAAAGATTTAGCATACTGTCTGGTTCATTAATGGGAAAGAACTACTTTTAGCTGGGCTAAAAAACCAAAACACTATGTGGTTGGAAAGAAGAGACAAAAATGCAAGAAGCCTGGGCAATAAATTGGAGAAACTTGAAGAACTGTGGTTTTTGTCTGTGTGGTATCGTATATCAGAAATAAGGTGGTCAAGCAACATATTTCAGGAAAGATTTTTGGATATGCAGCATATGTCTTGATTGCTAGAGATACTTAATTTCATAGCTAAGAGGCTCCCTTCCTCAAGGGGTTTTTCTTGCAGGGACACTGGACAGTGATGCATGGTGTTCAGATTGCAGAAGGCTCCATGTCACAAACTCATCTCCCAGAAGGCTGCATGTCACAAACTCATCTCCCAATGTTCAGCAACAGTATTTTTGGGTGATGATACCATTGCCAACAGTTTTGCTTTGTGGTTTTGGTTTGATTGTTTTGGTTTGTTTAAATGAACCAAATGGCACAAGATTTGCTTGAGCAGGGAAGTGACAGAATTCAGGGCCTTGTTTGTCTGAGGTCAAGTCCAAATATGCATCTGTCTTTTGGGCTGTCTGAATAACCAGGCAGATGGTCTTGGCCACTTCGAAAGAGGGAGAGAGCTCTTGTCTTTTTGCGTAATGTAACCTGCAAACTTCAAAATCCTTTATTTGCCATTTGTGGCATTTATTGAAGGGCCATTAAATAATTGGGTTAAATGTTTGGTTAAATGGATTGAAGTATGACCTTGCAGTCAGCTGGTTGGAGGTGATCTTAACAGTTCTGTTCAAGAATCAGTTGTGTCTCTTTTCCCTAATATTTTACGGGGGACTTAATTAAAAAATTCCTTTGCTATTTGAATTAAACTTTTTGAAAACCTTAGGAAAGGGACATCATTTCTGCCTTCACAGAAGCCATGCCAGCTTGGCCTCTAGTAAATTACCTATATTGACTTACCCAAGTTCTGGAGTGATTTATCTATTTATTGACTAAATTTAGACTCCTTCAATCCTTCTCGTGCTGAATTGGGGCTTAGTCGGATCTTTTCTAGGCCCTTTTTTCTAAAAATGAGGTGGCTTACATGTTATTCAGTGCTCTAGTGTAAACTGATATTCAGTGTTTTAGAGTCGGGTTTTTTTGCCCCCCAGAAATACTGATTGAACAGCAGTTTACCATTGAAATAAATAAGGCCATTCTGGATGTACAAAGCATTAAGTTTAGGGTTAAAATTTTTTTTCCAAAGCAAGCTGCAGTAAAAAAGAAAATCCATCTTGCATTTGATGCACATACAAATACATTCGTATGTGACTTGTGTCTCTGCAGGTTATAATTGTATGTAGGTATCTTTGGCTGTAGGTTTGTACCTCACTGATGGCGTTTCTTATAAAGAGAACAGATACCATGGCAAAAATAAAAATGAAATACTGTGAAATAAGATTCTAATTAATTTGGACAAGTTGGAAGCCCAGATGAAAGGAAGACATTTCAGTGAGGCTGTGGCTTTGAGAAGACCAGACCTGTGGTGGTCTGGGTTCTGCCCTACGTTTTCATCTGGCTGCCGTCAGAGCCAGCATAGAGGGGTTTAAGAGACCTGTGGGTGAGCCCTGTGGGGCTGCTTTTACTTCTTTAGCTGCTCTGACTGACACGAGAGGAAGCTAAGGGAAAACTGAGCAATGAAGGTTAACTTCAGAAGTATATTAAGCAAGACACCTTACAAGGCAGTAGGAGCTATACCATCATGTGTTACAGCGCAAGTTAAAGAAGTTAACAGAAATGGAAGGGATGCTTTTCACAACAGGGAGAAGTTTGAATAGCTTTATGACAAAGTTTATTGCTTTGATATCCTCAATCTCCAATGTACATAAAAGAAACAATTTTCAAGTGACTTGGATAGAGATGTATGATTTTTTTTCCCACATTCTCTGCACACTTTTGCTTGCTAGGGATGCATAATTTTGACTTCTATATGCTAAGGATAAATTAAAGGTATGTCATTGCTAATCCTTGCCAAAAGCTGATGCCTAAGCAAGACATCCAGGGCTGAGCTCAGATTAATTCCTCGGTGGGAGAATACTTCTGGCAGCTCTCAGTTTCTCACGACAGCCTATTTTCCAGCCCTGTTCCACCTGGAGAAAAGATCAAAATGATGTATCCCCAGCAGAACATATGTGAGCAGGGAACAATGAAAACCATATCCCTCCCTCTTGCATGGTCTTCTTGCAGCCCTAGACTTAGACTAAGGTTGAGGCACTGGCAGGGCACCCCCAAGTCTAGTCCCAGGGGCAAGTTTCTCATGGGAGAAGTCTTCTTGCAGCCTTTAATTTCCTTCAGCAGGTATTAGTCTATTAAATACAAGAGAGAAAGAGAAAAATAGGAGAGGGATGAGAGAGGAGGAGCCACATTTGTGGTGGTGTTTTGTTTCTTAATGTTGGATGAGATCTCTGCCTTTTAGGATTTGGTCCCATGGCGATAGACATGAAATAATGTTTGCTTTGGTAATTGTTGAATTTGAATGAGGATTTGAATGTTCCTCTTTCAAGTTATGGTTGTGTAAAATTTCCATAATATGCTGACTTACGACCGCAAACACTTAGGTCTACTGCTGGGGTGAAGCTCCTGAATAGATAATGCTGTTCACGCTTCTTAATTCTCTCCAAGCATAGATGAGGGCATTTGTTCTTCTGCCATTGAAGAAATCCAAGCTTTCTTACTACCTAATTGTCCCCAGCTTCTCTGAACAGCTCAGATCTATTGCTTCCACTAAGAGCTTAGGTTTTGGTCAAAGGAAACGGGCAAACACTGATATAATCTCATCACAGAGAACTTAGCAAAGGACATGACTGCTACTTTTAGCCAGGCCTGTGTGAAGCTTGTGGACTTTGGCCCATTCTGCTCCTCGCACTGATTTCCTGCGTTCTGACCTCTAGTATATAGCTTCATTCTCCAGGGGATTCAAAACAAGAGGTTTGGGTGGAGGAGACTCATTCCAAAGTCTATCTTCCAAGAGCTCCATCAGCTCAGTAGACAATTGGACACCTCTGGATCATCGGGGGAGACGTGCAGCGATGCTCTGGCTAGTGTTCGGTAGGTTTACGAACGTCCCAAGGTTCACTTTTTTTTTTTCTGAAGATTAGTCTTGCCCTGGAACTGTCTTCCTGACACTGTGGATGGGAAAGGTAGCCTGGGCGTTTCCTTCACGTTCCTCTTGTCAAGAGACTGTGTTAGAACTGCTTGCTGCTCTGCTGCTTGTTTTGGATTATCCTTTAGAAAAAAAATCCCTCTTTCCATCAGTTCAGTAAGTAGTTCAGTTGTTGGCTCTTTCAGGTTCACGTCCTTTTGCAGGAAGACTTTTCAGTTTTTCACTCGCGTTACTACAAGGCATTTTGAAAGGTTTAATTAGACTTTTTCTGCTGTACTACTGACCCTGTTCCTAAATGGGAGCTAAATTTAATATTACCTTTTCTAATGGGAAACCACTTTGAGTCATTAGCAAACCTGTTTCTTTCCATCTTCCAACAAAGACTGCCTTGGTTGTGGCAATTATATCTGCCAGATGAGTGGGAAAGTTTAAAGTGTTTTAACAATAAACGGTTTCTTAGCTTTTTCCCAACACTTATGTAAGTTTATGTCAGATTCTTTTTTTTTTTTCTTTCCTCTCTTGACTCACGTAATTAATCTGCTGGTGTGGGTTGTTTTTTTTCCTTAACGCCATACATCTGCAGTAGAGGCTGCTTTTGTACTTCAGATCTTGAAGAGTCTTTGGAGGAGGGTTTTTGTATTCCCAGGGCAGGGTCATATACAGAAATCTGCCAAGTATTCCAAGGGACGCCCCGCTGCAGCAGGGAGGATTTATCCCTGGAGAGCTGTTAATACACGAACTTGCTAGGAAAAAACCCAAGACAAAGCCTTTGATTTAAATAGGCCCCACTCAGGGAGTGCTCAAGTCATGCCAGTGGCATTGGTTTGCTGTATCAGTAACTGAGATTTATGTGATTGTCACCTGGAGCCGT